AGGCTGCGAGACCTATGATGATTGTATGGCCTGGGCCTATACTCGTTATACGATGTGTGAATGAAGTCACGTCTTTCAAAATAGCTTATGGCCGCGTGAAGAATTAGGCTACGTAATTTCTTTTCTGACAGCCTTCAAGCGGCACATCAAGAACCTCATGCGTTATTGTGCGATAAAATGAGGAACGTTTGCCGGCTTCCCACCCGGAATATCAACAGGTAGACTGAATGTCTTTTGCCAGCAGCGGTCAAATCGCTCCCCAGTTATAATTCCTGAGGACCGCATGTTTTGACTCAACCTATAATACAATCACGATGAGGTAGTTTAACTGTCTCAGTAGCAGCTGCAAATAATGCTGTGAATTCTTACAGTTTGTTGCCACAGACAGCCACGGTAAACGTCGGCTGGCAGTGTTCGGATGTGGTAGGCGTGAGCACCGAGATGCGACATGGATGCCAACTGCACCCGACCGGATAATGGGTAGGACTGGTGCCACACGAACGTTCGTTGAGACCTGCGCGGAGGCGTCAAAGGCGGTTGTAGCGATTTTTCGTAAACAGACATCGTGCTAGGTGCATTTCATGCGCGCTGAGTAATGTGCAACAGCTTATGCATTATAGGCAAGTGCACTTTGGTTGTAGCCACTGAATCTCAGTTTGAAGCAACACCTCTGTAAACTGGTTTGAGAGAAATCTGCCAGCGGGTAAGGCACCAACAGAATACCGGTGCTCAATACGGGTTTTACGTGTACAACAGTGTCGCTGGCACAATTAATCATGAAGGGGAAAATGCCTGCGTGGAGTATAAATGAATCACAAGCGATTATGGCCCTTTGCGCTCAGTAAAGAAGTTTTATCATTGGGCGGAAACATAAACAACACATCTGGGAGCTTGCATGAGCAAAAAGGGAGGAGGCTTAAAAGGATCGATCGTATGGCCGTTCGGACTAGAATATTTCACCACGTAAATGATATGGCAGTTATTTCCCGATGAATTTTTCTAGTCGCCTTTGGGGTGCACTTGGTTCTTTGACAGGGGCCCATGCATACTGTTTCGCATGATTGTGAAGTCCAGCGCTCTCGTGGGTAGCCAGATTTCATCACGTCTATAGAATGAGGTAGATCCCGTTGACTATATTTTCGGCGTCAGTAATTCGTATCCCGTACCGGAGGTGTTTACCAGTTATCATGTTTAGCAGCTACCCAATATTTTTTAAGATTTCTAAACTATAAGGACGGGCCGCTCCTTCGTACACATCATTCCAGACGTACTCTTCAATGAGTGCGTTCAACAGTAGTAACTTCACATCGTCCAAGAATACTTACTGAGCAGTAAGCCTGTGTGAAAGCATATATTTCGGTAAAAAGTATCTGATCCTCCAGCAGTATCACATGAACGCATCACAACCGCTCATTCCCTTAGCATCACCCTTCTGTGGTCTAGTTGTAGGACGCTACTCCTGCAATGTAGAACGCAGGTAAAATTACAAAGTCAGTGGTATCCACTTGAATGCAGCCCATTGGGTGTGAATAATTTGTAGCGGTCTTAAATGCCGAAGTTAAGTTCATCAAGACAGGAGCGATGTACCGTTAACCCCTTTTTCCCATGAAAACACACCTAACGACGTCCGTTATTTTCGCCAGCAATTAAACCCGATATGCGCCACAAAGCTCCAAAAAGGCGGAATTTCAGTCCGTAGGTTCAGTCTTTGCAAAATCACCACGGCTTACATCATAAAACCCAGTGCACCAGTTAGAACTCTGACACAGTAAACAATTTCACTAGCTAAAAACAGGAACTATTTCAGCCGTCACCTAAGGGCTATATTCACTTAGGATTCCACATCATTGAAAACACACATAGAGGAACGCAAGACACCTCTTACGAGAATCCAAGAGTTTCCTTTGGTGTATTAAGTCCTCCCTATTATCACTTGTGATTGTGACAGTACCACCAAGGGCTTGAATGTTTCGAGGTTAACGGGTGTGTTGAAAACAGTGGTCCTGTCACGTGCTTAACTGGTAAGACCTCAAGATGTTTACTGCGTCGAAAACCTCTCCTCTTGCCTGGCTTTTATGTGGGCAAACAGTGAACATGACTGCAGCCATCCACCTTTACAGCCGCAGAGGACAGTTGTTGTGTGGTTATGCACACGACATTTATGTGTGTTCTTCCGAATTTCCGGTCGTGTTTGGATTCTACTGACTCTATTTTATCGGAAACCTCTTGCATTGTTACACAAATGCCCCAAAAGCAGCCATACTGAATCTCATGTCAGCTCCTTCAACTTCGTGTATTCCGAACGCGCTGTGTGAGGAAGAACTCTCAGCAACTCTTTTCCAGTTAGCAAGTGAGAGGCTAACAGCACATCCTCAACATCCTCCTTGAATGGACATGTGAAGTTTTGCTGTTGCATATGAACAGTTATGTCACTGTCGGGCAAAAATGTTCCGATACACTCACTCATGTGAATGAAGCTACATGAAGTGCATTATTGTAGTTTGAATGTCGTGAGTCCACGTAATTAACAGTAAAATCACTAGCAACATAAAGACGCAAAAATGGAATACGGCGGCACACCAAGTGCACCTGAGAGTGGCGGCAACCACTCATTCAGTGCATGACAAGCACATGTTCAGTGGCAACGACGAAATGTTTGACAGAATACATTTGCTTCACTACAAATTCCCGTTATCAGTAGATGATTACCTCCGCAGGGTGATGCAACTGCAGACAACTGCGGCGGGCCAGTTGACAAACAGGAACTTAACGCCGACATAAAAGACGTAACTTAGTCAGAAAAGTTGACACAGCGTAAGAAATCAAACTATTTAGTGAAGATACTACAAAATATGAAGTGGTTAATTAGGATTGCTGTCGGAGATACTCGTCGTGTACACTATTTTAATGAAATAATAAACACTTATGTCAGCCACGTCATATTGCGCCTACGTGACAATATGCTTTACACAGGCAGTGGTCCGTAAGGGACTGGATGCTGGGGATATAGCGTGACCAGGGTGCTGGCGCACTTCCAGGTCAAGTTTGTCTCAGTCGATTGGTAAGTTTTAAAGTGCGTCCTACCAAACGGTCATTCTATTTAGCGCGATAAAAGCTTATAGGTAGTATTTCCGGCTGTAGGAAAGGTGTCCGACGACGTGACAGCAGTGTCTGGCAGAGTTGTGATGTCCGGGCATTTTAGTAGTTCGGACGCATCCAAGAAGCGTCTTTAGAGTTCAATAAGGCTGTGCACCAGGCTTCATGAACTGGTTACTGCACGTTAGGGGGGTCACACGCACCATGTGGGGAAGGTTAGTCGAGGGAATGACGGTAGCGCGGTACTGTTATCTGACCTTGTGATATATATTTGCATCTTTTGACAGAAAAGACGTAGTAGGCCAGGTGGCATTAAAATGGGAACCTCTTTGGTGCTGCCTTAAATTTCTATAGGTTTAAATACATGGAATATCATTCATCTTTCCGTGTTAGACGCGTAAGCACTCAGCTGATATTTTTATGCATCAAAGGAAAACATAGTCACCTGCGGCTGGCATGCCACAAAATAGCCGTATACGTCATGGACACGAAGAAAATTTACAATGAGATAAACAACAGTGGCTTAAACCTTTCTCAGGTCGAACGCTGATGTGCATCTAACTCCCAAGGACCATAAAATTTAAGTACAATTCCCCACGCGCGGATTTCCTCCTTAGGGTACACCTGGGTCATGATGATTCAGATAACTGTCTGGACTGCTTACTCCACCAACATTACCCTCGACTACTACCAATGTAGAAGTCAAGGTGAATATCGCAACCGAAACCGAAAGTTCAAAAATTCTTTACAGTTATTAAGTTCCTCATTGTAACTGTAGCAATAAAGCTTCCCATTTCTATGCACCTGTTCTAATTGCATCCTTCAGGAAGTGGCCTTAATTGTCTAACTGTCTGCCTTACATAAGGACGTAGCAACTGAGATTATGAGTCTTGTAGATCAGTATAACAAAACGTGTTACTTACGAGCACTTCGCCATTTCACACTGTAACATTCCGTCAAGACTGTCATCTCAGAAAACTGCAGCATTTAGGAAACTGTTTATTTCGGCAAATGGCATAAATGGTAGGTTTACAAAATTCGTAATAGCCATTTGACGTTACTGTTCTTCAACTGACATCAAGTTGAGCATCCTTCCGCTCAAAATTAAATTTTAACATAAGGTAAAAGTGAATAACAGGAATATCTAATTTTCCGCTGGCATAAGATGAAGCAACCAGTCACCAACGCGTTCTTCATTCCGGCAGTTTCGCCCGTCTGTATGAGTATACACCGGCTTCAATATACAGGCAACATTTCCTTCTGCGTTTTTCATTTAATAGACGTTGCAAAATCAGATTTTGGCAATATTAATTCATTACTGAGACATCTGAGTGAATCAATATACCGCGAACAGCAGAATTGCTAGCTAAATTCCATTCACCTTCAATTCTACCAAACGTTTTAGCATTTATCAACCTTTTGGATGAACATGTACAGTTTTATGACGTTTTACTGATTCCTAAATGAGTGCTTAAACCTGAAATTCACGTATTATGCAGACACTCTGCAGCAAAAACAAAATAAAACACATCCCAACTAATTACTTGCGTGCATGCATTATTAGCACATACATTTCACTTTTTCACATTCTCAGCACCTTTTGGAGCATAGAATCAACTTTTATGCTGTTACATAGGCCGTGTAAGCAATATTTTGACCTAACGAAAGTACCTAACAATATTATCAGTCAGCTAATCATGCCCTTTATCCAATCCCGGTCTGTAATGTATCATGTTATTCAAGGAGCGCGCGTTCTTAAGTTTTGGAATTAGAGCTAAAATAGGTCCCTTTGCCTCATGAACTTGGAGACCTAAATAAATTGCCCACAAATAAATTACTATCTTAAACTCTTTGCTGATATTATTTTTGTTTCTACTTTCTACTTATCTCTTAATTGATACTCCAAACTCTGCTGGCGGTCAATTAGTGATGGATTCATCTGACCCATATGGGTGCTTGGTTAATGAGAGCAAGATTATCGAAAAGCAGACTGAACAGAGACTTCAGAATGATCATCGGATGGATAATCTTATACTTTTGGTCTACATAGTACTTCTTACTCTTTCTGTCATAACAATATGGGCATTTAAACACAGACGTTTCCGATATATCCACGAAACGGGTCTTTCAGTGGTGTATGGTATGCAGTTTACACTAGTTATTATTGTTAGGGCTCATTGTTGGTATCATACTTAGGTATGCCATAAAGTCACCGGAGTTTCCAGTGGAGTCCCATGTGTTTTTACGGAAGGCTGATGTGTGTGGTGGTCACCTACCTCCAGAAAGACTGGTTGTCGAAGTTCCAGTTCGTGATCAGAATGGGACGCTAAATTTGAGCATGTTGTTTCGGTACAAGTTTGAACAGCAGTCAGACGATGATTCTTTGATCAACGACAAGGTAACTTCGTTTGTTCTATTATTTTCAGGCTACCTTCGACCCAGAATTCTTCTTCAATGTCTTACTTCCCCCAATAATTTTTTCGGCTGGGTATAGTATGAAGCGCGTATGTTTTTCATTTGTCTTTTATGTTTCTCAGGGTCACTTTTTCAAAAATATCGGGGCCGTTCTGACTTATGCTGTGGGCGGAACTCTGTTATCTTCGCTTGTTGTTGGGTATTTTTAAGAAATTAGTATTAACGTTCCATAGGACTTTGTGTTACGGGTTCACTCGCGGAATCTCTTCATTGTCACAAACACTGTACCTCTCAGATTGCCTGCTGTTTGGAGCCATGATATCCGCTACTGACCCTGGTAAGATTTAATAGTTAAGTATGATTGTTTTAGTAACTGTTTTGGCTATCTTCAGTGACTTGAGGGTTGATGTCAACTTGTATGCACTTGTTTTCGGTGAGAGTGTGCTTAATGATGCCCTAGCAATTGCGTTAGCTCAGTAAGTTTTGTTGTATACTGTATATTTCGTTTGGTAACTATGCTAATCTATGGTCTTGTCCGGAAGTGTAGTTATTGTTTGAACAAAAAGTCACTAAACTTTTATTTTTTTTGCGGGCAATATGTACTGTGCACAAGGCATCAATATTTCTTACTAATAAACTAAATTTCTTCATAGGTCAGTTGAAAAGTATGGATCACTGTCTGCTGGCAATTTTGATGGTCATGCACTCCTATCTTCTGTGTTAAATTTCTTCATAATGTTCGGAGGTTCGTTCGTCATTGGCGTTTTTATTGGTTGTGTCACTTCTCTCCTCACGAAATTCACTCATATCAAAGAACATCCTCTTTTAGAAACAACTCTGTTTGTGTTAATGTCTTACAGTACATTTCTTTTTGCTGAAACCGTTGGATTTACGGGTGAGTGTTTCTATTTTATATTCAGTGCTTACACTGCAAATGAATGTAGGAAGTGGTTAGTCGATTTAGTCATATTTGTACCTTTTATGCATTTTCTTGTATGTAAACTGATATTTGAACAGCGAGTCACTCTGAGTGACTGATGTATGTAGATATCTCGAGTCATCAAAGAAAGCACTGAAGCAAAACTTGTGAAGTTAAAAACTACTTTATATTCTCTCTTAGTACCCTTATTGATGGTCTTAATTAGAGTCGCATATATTTCGTTTTGATGTAGACTTTTGACAAATCAATCTGCACTTAAGTTATCCAGGCTTCAAATCAACATCCATTACTGTATTTTAACCAGACAAAATTATCTATTCACACATCTCTTTATTAGTTTGTTTTTAGATATTGTGAAATCACAGTAATTAGCATGCTATCCTTGCATGGAAGCATCACTGAGACTTGCATGTTTGTATCAAAAAGGCTTCTCATCTCAGCTTCTTCCTACTTGCAACCCACTTGTATTTTCGAGCGTGGTTTAAGGATACTGGGGGTGCCTTCATATCATAGACCGTGTATCGTAAAATCACCATGTTAGTAGTGTAAAAGTCAAACGTAGGGTCTTGTGCAAAAGCTTTACGTCAGCTAATTTTGTAAGCCTTAATCGACCCAGGTGACTGGGACGTTTGTAATACACGCCTAGTTATTGTCTACCCTGTCACAGTGTTAGCCATATTAGGTTAGGGTTGGTGAATAGTTTGAGGTGGTCAGACGAACATGGCATCAGTGCATAAAGTTCCTGTTGGTCTGAGCCGTGTCAAGAAAAGTGGATATACCGGTTGAAATCCGTGTGACGACCGAAACCGTTGGTTGAAGTTCCGAGGTGATATGGTCCAGAATCGATGTCATTGGTGCGGATATATTTAGACTTCATCTTCTATTTAATCGTTGCGTCGTTCTTTTGGGGATTTTCTACCACTCCTGATTACATTTTCTTCCCCTATTTCTTTCTTTCATCTCTGCTGTGTAACAATGTGCTGGCTGGATTGAAATCGACTAACTGACTGATATAACTCGAATCCAGCAGTTGACCAAACTTATCAAAGGTGAATCCATGAAATATAAATGACATGCTGTACACATTCACTGACTACACAAGTCGTTCTATGGTTCGACTAGCTCTTGAGGAACTCGATGTGTGGAAGGTAGATCGTGCTTTTCTTTTAACCATCGTCCAAGATTACTTTTTTTTTACGTGGGTCGAACACTTTAAACCTGCTTTCCTGCTGTTACAGGAAACTATCTCTGGATAGTATGCATTTTGTCCAGGGCTTCACGTCCAATGTTTTTTTTTCAAATATTTAGTCTATTCATGTTACCACGTAAGCGTTTCCGGTTTTCTTAGTAAATGGTATTTGTTGACTCGCAAGTAAACAAATTCCTCAAGAAGTTAGCTGTGTTTCTACACAGGTTTCAAATCATACCAGGTTGCCGTCAGTGCTCTCGATGTTGACTGCGAATTCCTTTGTAAATAGTACTAAAGTAAGACTAAACAGTTTATAAATTACGACTACGTTTTACAGGTGTAAGAGGTAATTAGATTGCGTAATACGATCGATTCACCATTCCTTGGCTCAAATATTCGTATAGAGATGTGGCTTGTTGGGTTAGGTACTTGACTCTTGAGCAACTGGTTTAAAGCTAAAATCTTATTTCGTCGGCTTCAACCTCATCAGTTAGGTAACATCGTAGACTCGTACACGATTATCATGACTCATGTCCTGGTACAGATACCTGTGTAGGGTTCAGCTGCATTACTTTTATGTACCTTACATTCGTTGTCTACTGAAACCGTTAGCTATTTTTTTTTTACAACTGAAAATTGTTTTTATGGTAGGTTGATAATACTTTTGGATATCTATTTTCCACAGTACTGAAACATTAGGTGCATATCATTTTCTTTTCCTCTAGGTATTGTTTCCGTGTTGTTCTGTGGTATCACTCAAGCGCATTACACTTATAATAATCTTTCCAGTGAGTCAAAAGTTTGGACAAAATCAGTAAGTTCCTTCAATTTTGAAGCATGTTTTAGTGAGAATGCACCAAGCGTGTTTTAGCGTCTTGAAATCCTAGATCATTGTATGGTTTGTCTATGCTCATTTGTGAGATGCGAAATTATACGAATGATTTTTACTGTAACAGCGATTGTGTACAGACAATTTACCAATGTATATACACCATGTTAATGTTCCCGAATGCCATCAACCATTGATTCTCAACACTTTTGTAGGATTCCTAGTGCTATTCGATACAAATTTATATCCAACTTACGTCTATGAAAAGACAGAATTAATTACAATATTTATTATTATTATTATTATTAGTCCCTTGGGTTCCTAATGGAACATAGGGCTTCAGTAGCACGTCTCCAGTGAACTCTGTTCTCTGCAAACTTTTGAACCTGGTTCCACGACAGCCCAGAAGCTCTCATTTCCTCCTCGCACGATCTCCTCCATGTCACCTTCGGACGCCCAACTGGTCGTTCCCCATCTGGGCTCCACTCGAGTGACTGACCTGGTGAGTGATATCCCCAGTCAGCCTTCTCAGCGTATGCCCAATCCAACTCCACTCCCTTCTGCATAATTGTTGAGCGATAGCTTCTTGGTTGGTTCGTTGCCGGGCCAGAGATCCTAGTTGTTTATTCTTTCTGGGTATTTGATCTTCAGTATCGAGCCAGCGTAGGTGGCAGTTGTTGATGAATGTCTGTAGTTTATTGGAAATCCCTTTGGTAACGCGCCAAGTCTCTGAACCATACAGAGGCACTGACTTGACGTTGGTGTTGAAAATCCGGATCTTGTTCACGCTTTATGCTGAGTGCAGATCTCTACACTGGTTTAAGGTTAACGAACACCTGTCTTGCTTTTCCGATTCTGACTTTGACATCGTCGTCTGTGCCGCCATCTGTAGTTGAAACAGTGCTTCCTAGATAGGTGAAAGAGGTTACTTCCTTTAAGTTTCTCCCGTTGATGGTGACTGGAGTTTGTTGTTGTTGTTGTTGTTGGTGCGGTATCTTCATCTCTTCTGTCTTCTCTATATTCACTTGAAGTTCCGTCTTCGCTGCCTCTTCTGCCAACTTGTTAGTTTTCGCCTATAGATCTTCAAGTCTGTGTGACATCAGGCACAAGTCATCGGCGAAGTCCAGATCTTCTAGGGTATTTCCCGCAGTCCAGCTGGAGTATCCCCTCTTTTCGCTCCCCACTGTTTGCTGCATGATCCAGCCGACCACAATCAGGAATATCATGGGTGATAGTAGGCAGCCTTGTTTCACTCCTGTCTTCACTTCAAAAGCATCACTGAGCTTCCCATTGTGAATTACTTGGCATATGGAGTCTTCATATAGTTGTTGAATGAGGTGGATAAAGGTTTGTGGCACTAAAACTGTAGTGTTGAAGCAGTTTCCAAATTACCTCTCGGTCGACGCTGTCGAGGGCCATTTCAAAATTGATGAAGTTGAGGTAAGCTAGAGAGTTGACTGTCATTCTACACTCTGTTCTATGATGATGCGTAGCGTGGTGTCGCAATTTGATCTTCACATGATTTGTTCTTTCTGAAACCAGTCAGCCTGTTCCGATCGTGATTTTGAATGCAGAGCACCTTTTAATCTCTCCAAGATGATGCGGCATAATATTTTGCTTGGAGTGGACAGCGCCAGTTTTTACAAAGACTTAGGTCTTCCTTCTTTGGGAGTTTGACAAGGTCGCCCTTCTTCTAGTCAACAGGCAGGTACTTTTCCTTCCTTCCAGACCTTCTGCAATAGTGGTGTGGTGTGAGCATGTCCGCTGTTGTCTCTGCGTCTGTTCTCAGTGCTTCTGGCGGGATCCCGTCTGGTCCTGCTGCTTTCCCGCATTTCAGTAGCTTTATGGCATTCAGGACTTCCATTTTTGTTGGAGGATTTATGTCCACTTGTAGTTCGGCGGCTGGGTTGCTGGTGGTATTTCTGGACGAAGTGCAGGTGGTGGTGGTGAGCGATTCAAGAGCTTCTTGAAGTGGTCGGTCCATTGTTTCTCTCCTTTCGTAATTAAGTTTCCGTCATCATCTTTTATTGGTTTCGTCTGCGTTGATCTCTTCCCAGATAGCAACCTGGTTATTTGATACAATGTCGTCAGGTCTCTCCTACCTGCAGCCTGTTCTGCTTCACTTGTCAGTGTTTCGTAGAAGTGTCTTTTGTCTTTGCGTGCACTCTTCTTTACTTCTTTATCCAGTGTTTTATACATTGTGCTTAGTTCCTCTTGTCGTTGAGCATCCTTGCACTGGTTTATCTTCTGCTTCACCATCCTCCTCTCCTCTATCAGCTTCCAGGTATCCGTCGAGATCCATTCCTTGTCTTCTTTCTTCTTCCTTCCTAATACGGCTGTGCAGGTTTCTTTCCACATCTCTTTCAAAGACTTCCAGTGTTCTTCCACACAGGTTTCTTCAGGGATGTTGCTCGATGTCTCCCATTTTGTCTTGATGGCTGACATGAAGATTTTCTTTGTAGTTTCATCCTTCAGTTTCCGAGTGTTGTACTTGAAGTGAGGTCAATCACCAGCTTCCTTGAAGGCTTTTAACTTGATTTGGAAGGTTTCTTGCACTAGATAGTGGTCTGAACCTACATCTGCTCTTCTTCTTGACCTTGTATCAAGTAATTACAGTATACATTGGCGTAACCCGAATCATCATGAGACCTGAACAGTCAGAATCTGTCTCATCAGATGCTAACATTTTTTACTGAACAGAATAACTGAATTGATTTGAAAACAGATCATTGTTTTGTTATTGTATTTTAACCACTAAATCTATGAAGTGCCAGTGTTTACACAAGTAGTCTGTAGTCGTATTATGCTCCAACTTTCTGCTGTATTGAATACCAGTGCCATTTGTAGACTATTAGTATTCCTTGTAATGTAAAATTTCAACGGAGTTACACTCGTTAAAATGATTATGTAGCTGTATAGATAAGTAACAGTTTTCCAAATTAGTTTGGTTGGCTAAGAATTTCAGAACTCCTCTTAATTTCGTACATTAGGGAAAACTTTTGTAGGTACCCATTTCCTTCGATACGGAATGGCGTTTAATAGACAAACAGTTTTGACTGAGTTTTTTACATCGAGATCAAGGTGCTTCTTTTTGCGCAGATTAAAAAGTTGGTAATCTAGGTCCGTTTATGCATCGAGACTCGGTAATCGCATATGGTTCGTTCATCAGAAGTGAACCACATATGTAAATAACTGTGATACTGCCTACATTTTTAAAAGTTGGCAGGTGGAGTTGGGTTCTAAGTTGTGCCTCATTTGTTGAGAGTTAACTATTCAATCTGATTAGTCATTATTATAATATTACTATTATTTGTCCTTTGGGTTCCTAGTGGAACATTGGGCTTCAGTAGCAGGTCTCCATTGCACTCTGTTCTTTGCAGTCTTGTGAACCTGGCTCCGCGACTGCCCAGAAGCTTTCATTCCTTCCTCATATGATCTACTCCATGTCACCCTTGGACGCCCAGGTCATCGTTTCCCACTTGGGTTCCACTCAAGGGCCTGGCCTGGAGCGTGATGTTCCCGAATGGTCTTCTCAGTGTATGCTCAATCCAATCCATCTCCACTTTCTGCTTGTGCATATTTGTTGGGAGATGGGTTCTTGCTTTGTCGGTTCGTTGCCAGCCAGCCAGCCAGCCAGAGTTCGTTGTTGCTTATTCTTATTATTCTGGCCATCTGATCTTCAGCTTCAGTATCGAGTGAGCGTAGGTGGCAGCTGTTGATGAATGTCTGTAGTTTGTTGGAAATCCCTTTCGTAACGCACCAAGTCTCTGATCCTGGTTTTGACGTCCTCATCTGTGCCACCTGTAGTTGAAACCATACTGCCCTGCCTTGGTGGTAGGTGAAAGAGGCTACTTCCTTTTGGATTCTACCGTTCATGGTGATTGATGCCTGTTGTTGATGTTGTTGTTGGTTGGGTATCTTCATCACCTCCGTCTTCTCAACGTTCACCTAAAGTCCCATCTTCACTGCTGTGCCTCTTCTGTCAACTTGTTGGTTTTGTCTGTAGATCTTCGATTTTGTGTGGCAAGACATTGGACATAAATCATCATCGGCGAAATCTAAATCTTCTAGGGTCTTCTCATCGGTCAAGTCACCGTATGCCCATCTTCTCTCTCCTCACAGTGTGTTGCATGATCCAGCCGACCACAATCAGGAATATCATGGTGATAGTAGGCAGCCTTGTTTCACTCCTGTCTTCACTTCAAAAGCATCACTGAGCTTCCCATTGTGAATTACTTGGCATATGGAGTCTTCATATAGTTGTTGAATGAGGTGGATAAAGGTTTGTGGCACTAAAACTGTAGTGTTGAAGCAGTTTCCAAATTACCTCTCGGTCGACGCTGTCGAGGGCCATTTCAAAATTGATGAAGTTGAGGTAAGCTAGAGAGTTGACTGTCATTCTACACTCTGTTCTATGATGATGCGTAGCGTGGTGTCGCAATTTGATCTTCACATGATTTGTTCTTTCTGAAACCAGTCAGCCTGTTCCGATCGTGATTTTGAATGCAGAGCACCTTTTAATCTCTCCAAGATGATGCGGCATAATATTTTGCTTGGAGTGGACAGCGCCAGTTTTTACAAAGACTTAGGTCTTCCTTCTTTGGGAGTTTGACAAGGTCGCCCTTCTTCTAGTCAACAGGCAGGTACTTTTCCTTCCTTCCAGACCTTCTGCAATAGTGGTGTGGTGTGAGCATGTCCGCTGTTGTCTCTGCGTCTGTTCTCAGTGCTTCTGGAGGAGTTCCTTCTGCTTTCCTGGATTTCTGAAGTGGTCAGCCTATTGTTTCTTTTGTTTTTCTCTTTGGTATCTAAGTTTACTTCAATATCTCTTATTGGTTTCATCTGTGTTCATCTCTTCCCAGATCGATAGTAACCTGGTCATTTGATATGTTGTTAGGTCTCTCCTACTGCAGCCTGTTCTGCTTCGGTTGTGTGTCGTAGAAGTGTTCTTTGCCTTTGGGCTCACTCTTCTTCACTTCTTTAACTAGTGTGGTGTTTTATAGGTTGTATTCAGTTCCTCTTCTCGTTGTTCATCCTTGCACTGGTTTATCTTCTGCTTCACCATCTTCCTCTCCTGTATCAGCCTCCATGTGTTCGTCGAGATCCATCCCTTGTCTTGTTTCTTCTTCCTTCTTAATACAGTTATGCAGGTTTCTTTCCACTTCTCTTTCAAAGACTTCCAGTGTTCTTCCACTCAGGTTTCTTCAGAGATGTTGCTGAATATCTCCCATTTTGTCCTGATGACTGACTGACTGACGTGAAGATGTCCTTTGTAGTTTCGTCCTTCAGTTTCTGTTCTGGGTGGTCAACTTGAACTGTGGTTTACCACCAACTTGCTTGAAGGCTTTCAACTTGATTGTGAGGTTAGGTTCCTTACACTAGGTGATGAGTGGTGTGAACCGACATCTGCTCCTCTTCTTGATCTTGTGGTGTCCAGTAGGCTGTGTCTCCACTTTCTTCAGATTGAGATGAAGTCGATCTGATTTTTAGTGTAGTGTGTCAGTCTGGTGAAATCAAATGCATGTCGCTTTGTGAATATCTTTGTGTTTGTACACACTGCCTCCAATCACTAAGTCATCAAAGGTGCAGAATTCTGCAAACAGTTTCCCATTCTCATTATTTCATCGAGTCCCTCTCGACCCATGATTGGTTCTCTTCCTGTGTTGTCCACTCCCAGTTTGTCAGTCGTGTCACCCAACCCATTAGAATTTTGGTGTCGCCAACTGGGTTGGGGTTTTGTCCAGTAGTGATTGGAGTTGTCTGTAGAATTCCTTCTTTTTCTCTTGATTTGCATTATTTGTAGGTGCGTAGCGTTGGATTGTATGATTGTGACTTTCCTTCCTTTTGAGTTGAATCCATCTTGCTGTCATGATTCTGATCATGGAGGAGATTGGTTCTCACTGTATGAGAGCCTTCAATACCCTTGGGGGCATCATGATAGCTACTTCAAAACTCATTGTACTCGTGGTTGTCGTCTGGGTGACAATATCGGAGTAGATTATTGACCCTCCAGTTGACAGTTGTGAGAGTCCCCTTCCATTGCATCTGCTTTCGCAGATTCCTAGCCTAACACTTCTATGCCATACCTTCTCATCTCTTTTGAAATTTGGGCAGCCGTGCTAGGTTCATATATGGTGCAGACATTTCATGTCCTTGTGTTTACTTTTGCTTTCATCGAGAGAGAAGAGACACATCGTCTGACTGGCTTCATGAAGGCTTTCACCAACCATCGTCATTTCGTCTGCCCGGTTCCAGCGAGGAATAAGTTTATTTTTATTTCTTATATTTTCTTTGTGTTTTGAAGTTTCTTTAGCAATTGGATAGGTTTTTCGGGGTAGGGTTGCTAGTTCTATGCCCAACCTTCCCTCTTTATCCGGGCTCAGGATCGGCTAGTAACTAGTGAACTAGTTACGTAGGCTAGGTTCGGTAGATAGGTGGTTATATTTTGTTCTTGCTTACTGTTGGTATGCGCAAGTGAGGCAACTGAATGCTCCTAAATAATTTTCTAAGTAGCTGTTTCCGACAAGAGATACAATGGAATCCAAAACATTGTTGATGAATGGACTATGGTGAAGTGATATCCACGTGTTGATTAAGTGACTAGTGTTTACGTTATTCATATCAACCCTTGCATTAAGCTTGTTTGGCTTAGGTATTCAAAAAAGCCGTAAGATACATGGCTTCTTTCGGTTGTCAGTGTCAAAAAGCGATACTTTATATCTCGGTTACGTGTGATTTTTAATGGATAGATAGGGAGAACGTTTTGATTGGGCGGCGTGCTCCTTTTGGCCAACTTACTTAAAGCAAGTTTACTTTCACAAAAATTGTTTTCATTGTTGTATATTTGAATTAATTAGAAGAGCTTTTGTTGTTTAGTTTGAGTGACTCTTAAAGCAACACAACAGGTCTTTTAATTCTTTCATACCTGGAAAATGACGGAAAGTGACATGTGACGAGTATAATGAAGCAGTTTCGGTCGGTATTGTATGGATTCTCTAATATATAACTGCTGCTCTAATGATATACAAGCTTATATGAAGTACTGAACGACTTAGGTCCAAATCTTCAAAGGAAACTAGGTTCCTTTGTGATCTTTTTGACACTATGCTAGTCAATGTTCAACATTCATAAACGCGAAGTCCAAATATTTTAGCCAATTATTTTCATTCATCTTAACGTTCAGTGACTATATTTTGTTGATCTGCTATTTAATAAAATTGTATATTTCTATTGTTGTGTTTATGCTGCTTTTCAGTTTTTTGAACTTCTGAATTTCTTGTCGGAAAACTTTGTATTCGCTTACATCGGTGTTTCAACATTCACCTTCCGCCATCACTATTGGGATGTTCGATTTGTATTCATTGCATTGTTCTCGTGTGTGGTTGCAAGAGCAGTTAGTGTATATCCACTCACAGGTCTCATAAACTTCTGTCGAACTTATCGATGTTCATGTTCTGCAAATTGTTTAAAGCGAAAACCCGATACATATTCAATCGATAAATGCATAATACCAGGATCGTCATTCTCATCAAGTCCAGTTGAACCAGGCGACATTTCAGTTACTACGGTTGGTGGCGGTGATAAGAGAAAGAATGCATCAAACAAAATTACTTTGAATTTTCAGCATATGATATTCTTCTCAGGACTTCGGGGCGCTATGGCCTTTTCATTAGCGATTCGTAATACCAGTTCCGAAATACGTCGTATGTTTTTCTCAACCACGATTGTAGTTGTTGTTACTACAGTATTATTGGGAGGTTGTTTTGCTATATCTTTACTGCATCGACTAAAGATACCGTAAGTTTTTTAACCTTCTTGATATAGCTCCCTTGAAGTTAATATACTTGAGTTTCTGTATTTATCTCTTATAAAAGCGTTGATATATTGTGTAGTGTTGAAGTCACTGGATTACATTTTCACTGTAGGAGAAGTAATGCATCCCGTGTGATGTGCAGTGCCACTGTTTTTAACCAGTAAATTCTAAAGACTAATTTTGAGGGTTTTGTTCAATTCATGGGTGCATTGACCTCATGCTCACTCTGCCGATTACTTGTACATCATCAGGCGTATTGCAGATCTTGGTATTTCTTGAGACTAGGACGGTCTTCAGTTCATTTAACAGAACCGTATGGCAAAAAGGAATGTTTTTGTGTTCAATAATATTTTGAATGTTCTGTCTGGAAACACCGAGTGAATTTAGAACGTGGGGCCAGTTTTCTCGTTTTTGTCTAAAACCAGCTTAGGGTTACTTAAGGTTACTCAATTTCTTCATTTTTGCTTAACTTAGCTGACAATAACATCTCCGAAGGTACTTGGTAAGGATGTGAATTCACTGCGTGGGACAGACAGGTAGATAGACAAAATCAACATAGGACTTTGCACATAAGTGCATCAGTTCAATTTGCCACACTTCACAGTAGCATGCGAAGAACGATGGATAGAAAGTGGCAGATATAAAAGTAAACAGAGGTGTATAAGAGGAGAAATAATCTGAAGATAAAAGTTGGTGAAAGGATTCAAGCCTCAGAAGACATCAAAGAGTGAATACAAATGCGCCATTGTGACTGATTTTCAGCTATTTCACCAAGAGTCCTCGGCCACTGATTCCTATGATCTCGAAACCCCCAACTAGGCAGTGTACATCTCCCTACACGGCTCATACCAAGATTTAGGGACTTCATAGATTAATACCACGTCTTGGTCTGACCGTTCTGAGCCCTCTCCCAAAGTAATCTAACTTCTAGCATTGCAGATCGGGGTAGGTGGTGGGTAGGTATGCGCAACACATGCCCACGCCACGTCGGTCAGTGGAGGTCCACAACTTCATCGACCAACTTTCCTTTGTTTGTTGCCTTTTGCCTTACCTCTAAATTGCTCATGTGGTGACCGTGAGTGGAGGATAACATCGTCTTGGGATGCAATTACTTGGCGGCTACTCAGATCACACTTAAAATTTTCAATCCTTATAGCATGTGTCTTTAGGATCAGTTTGCTTTACGCCTGTAAAATTTGGTCTGCTTGCTGAGAGTGCTCAGTAGCTCTATATTTTTGACCATTGCTACTTCTGTAAGTGTGCCTGCACCCGGTAGTTATTTCATGTTAGTGACTATGATTTTGAGTTTCATGTTCTTCATTGAGCATAGTGGTGACCATCATTTTAAAGGGAAGTCACCTTGCAAAATTCACTTTGGCTTGGTCATATTACTCCCACTTTTCCATTGTCTTCCATACTGTCTGCTGTTCACTATCGTTGGGGTTAGTTAGGATAAACAGAGAGATGTGGTTAAGTGGAATGAAGGAAAACACCAGGCTAGCGTTTGTTGGTATACCGACATAACTTATATGGAATTCAAGAGGTCATGAGATTCATATACTTGAGGTGATATCAGACATAACATACCATCGGTAATGACGAATGTCGTGCTGTAACTTCTTCGCATATCTTGCTGTCGAATGATAATCGGAAGCTAACTAGGCGTTTTCGAATTCGTCTTGTGAAATTAATTTGTTGGTTATCCTATTACTTTTTTCTCTCTATTTGCATTTCGTGTCTACCTAGCGTTATATTATTTTATGCAGTTCTTTTCCTGGTGTTTATGTTGTTCAGAGTTTGCGTTGAATAAATAAGCTTTGTGAACCTTTATTATCAGTTTAACCCATTACCATGGATGAGTTATGCTATTATGTGTTATGTTATATTCTTCGAATTGAAGAAGCCCTATTAGTCATGTTCTTGCTGATTGAATTATTACTCCTTTGTGATTATTAGTTTTAGGTATTCAAAGTCATTCACGAAAATTTTTGAATGGTGCTTCTAAGATATATCACTCTATCGTTGCTATAAGTTACTAAATAAACCCTTCTTTTCTTTCTTTGTTAGTGTTGGTGTGGACTGTAGTGGTGAAAATCAAGTAAGTTAGTCTCGTTTGCTTATTTTTAGTGAAGGGATAGGTTAATTAGTGCTGTTTAATTTCTCTTGAATATTTTGCGCATGATGAGTCATATAGTTCATTATATCCGGGACTTGTGTAGGTAATGCTGCAGTTGATCTGTTGAACTACTTTTGCAGTGTAATTCTGTCAAGAAAATACTCCTCTGTCCGCGTTTGTTTGGTTTAGTGGGAGGAATAAAAATGTCTCAAAAGTGGTTTTGATTACGAGTTGAGCTCGAGAATCGTTACAAATATGGGAGTGAAGTGGATCATTATTATTATTGCTGTAGGGGCACCAAGAAATGAGCCACGTAAAGTAATTTAGCAACATTATGAAGACGAAAAGCTTTGGGAAGCGGATGAAAGAAAAACACAATAAGAATAGGATGATTAGAAGGGGAGTTCAGTAAGATACATTCAAACACAACGTTCATTACCTTTCAATAGCAGGAGATAAAAGAAAACTACAGAATAACTACCGTTGGTTTCTATTCTGACTCATATCTGACAAAGTCTGAAGCTACTGAGTCGCATGATCTTTTGGACCCGACTCAGGGAATCATGATGCATCATCAAATGCTAACCCGACACAACTATCCTTCGTCTGACGGTGCCACGTCATACACTGACCATCCCTATGTTTCTTCCATCCAGTCCTAGGGCTAGCAAACAACGACATGCGTAATACATATCCAAGCCACCGAAACCGGTGTTTACGGATAACTTCACTCATTGAATGACATTCTCTACCATGCCCAAACACGCTATCGTACATCAGAATTACTTACATGGTGTTGCCACCGGATACGAGCAATCCTAGGGGAACAGTGATGATCGGACACAGAGTTGTTGCACATCCTCAGCTAGGGGAAGCTAGGTTTCATAGACGTAAAGCATAACTGTTCGCACTGAAGCGTTGTAAATTCAACTTTTTACGGTCAGACTAACGTGGCGACGGTGTAAAAGGTAGACTAAATTGGCGTATGCCACTCTGGCCTTCGATATGCAGTTAGAAATTTTATCACTGACACCACCAGCACACACAACTACCCAGAAAGACAAAATTTTCGACTACTTCCAACGGCTCACCACCGAGGCTCCTACCAATCTTGCAAAAGTACTTTGCACTTCGATGATGCAAAGCATATACCATACTCAGGTGGATCCCAACGGATAACACTGAATGATGGTTCCACTGTATCGCGAATTGACAGAAGTATGAAATAACCGACCATTGGATTCTAATTCAGTGTATGAACGATGACACGCCTGCTGTGAAACCTAACGGTTCAGACCCATTCCTTGGTGGTGCCTTAGATGCCCAGTGTAATATATTTGACCAATGTCAAGAATATGCCTTTTAGGTTTTGTCATATAAAACAGGCATGTTTTGTCCTTCTAGTACTTTATTGAGAAATCGCTTCTTTTAGCGTGTGTAGCTGGGAAGGATCAACCACCCTTAGATCACCAGCACGTAAATCCATTTCGATCACTATTGTCTGCTTCCCCAAATCTTAACTCTTCTGCTAGTATTTTTATTCTTCTTGTATACACCTCCAATCACTACTGTGTATTATCTTTCTCTACCTGTTCTACCATAAATAATGGTCATCCTTTTTGTGAACTGTGACGAAATGTGATAGTAGGTATATGTCCTTACCTTTTAGATGCATGCAGATGCAGAAGAATATCCGTATGAAGATCGTGGCTGTTGTAGTTCGCGTTGGATACGTTTCGACAAGTTGTAAGTGACAATTATCACTTCCCTATTATTTTGATTGATTTATTGTCATATTATGTTATGATATGTTGTTTAATATTTCATCGTTGTAGTTCTAAGCTGTAAAATTCGTACTCCGAATGTTCGGCATTTTTCGCTTTAGAAAGTTCTTTTTTGTACTCCAATATTGCCTTTTATTCACTAGTTCTAACTTTAGGAGTAAGCTCTATTGAACAGTTATATTCTGACTGTTCATTTTTTCATGACTATAGTGCACCAGGCATCTCTTCATAGGTATTCTAGAGTAAATTAATTTCTTTTTGTTAGAATCTTGTAGCTCCTTTTGGTTTATTTGAAGCCTGTTAGCTGTAGTTCTTTGTTTCCTTTTCAGAACTTGAAATATTTTAAGCGCGGGTTTTTGTCTTCTAAGGTTGAATGACTAATCAAAAGCTTACACGGAGTGACTCCGTATTTCTTTTAAAATATGAAACTGTGATATAATGGCTTATTAACCTGACTACTGATTGTTGAGTATTAACACCGGGCCTACTCTGTGTATTTCACCATGAGCAACAGGGTAGTATGCAAGTTTTTTGTTCGTATGTAGCCTAGAAGACAAAGTTTCCTGGGACAGCCAATTTAGTATTTCTTATGAACTTGTTTTAAAGTTGGTAGCTAGAATAGCATCCGAAAGCTTAGCCTGTAATCTACCATAACGTCAATATCATTCACTAATCATTTCACCACACTGAGCTGTAAATAGTAAATGTATTTAAGCTGGTATTTATTGAAATAACTATACCAAATCGATCTGAATAATATTGCGAGACGAGGGTGTAACTCTGTATTACCACTGAGATATATGACCCAGTTCATTCATAACTAAGTTAATTACTTTTTACTGATGACAAAAACTGAGAGGACTTAGATATGTTACCATTCATGATCCACCACCTTTGTGCACGAGCGATGTTAACTGAAGTACAGGTTTCAATAGCTGATTTTCGCACCCAGGTAGGTAGATAAACGCTCCTGTAATAACCATAGAGAAGTCAGTTTGACGAACACAGTGTCTGAGATCCTAAGTCCTACGATTGTCAAACGTCTACAGGGAGCTCATGAACAGCGAGTCCCAAGAAATCAGACAAATTTAATGTGTGTGTCGACCACATACACCCTCCACTAGGTTCTTGGACACCGACACACCTACCAGTTCCAGACATAAGCTGTATTTCCTAACCTGAAAATGACATTCCACTTCATTGATCACGAAGTTTTGAGGTGGTGTCTGCACTGAAAGGTTTGCTATGTTAGTAAACAACCCTTTGAATGACGACTGCGTTCAAGCATTGACTGGTGTTGCAGCTTATAGTGAATTATCAGGTAAGTTGTGTAAGTCGGGCGGTATCCATGTAGTATATCCGTACTCTTAACTTCTTAAGCTTTTGTTGATAGTCGTACTTGTGGAGGTCTCCGACTCATCATCTGACTTTGCTGAGATTGACCTTGTCACAGGAGACTAATTAGTAGACCTAGAGTACAGAGGTGAAATAGTCTTGTTGGGTGAAAACTGATAGGATTCAGAGTATTCTCTGGATACAATGAGTGGCAATTTGAGGATGTTTAGGATGCATTTCTGACCACCCAAATGGGAATCGTTGCTCCAAGACCGGTCTTCAGTGGTGCTCTTCCTAACAGTTTGGAATGAAATGGTTGAGTGCGTCAACCGCTTCACGTACCTGGGAAGTCGGATCAGTTTTGATGGATCAGTGGTCGAAAAAATCTACATGAATACAAATGGTTGATCGGCTTTCGCCAACTTACTCTATTTAAAGTGCGACCATGATATTCGATTGCCTATTAGGGTAGAGTGTACTACACTGCAGTTCTCTCTTCGACTGCGTGGCTATGGAAAATGAATGTTAATGGTAGAAGACTTGAAGAGGCTTCAGATGTTCGACCATTATTACCTTCATTGCACACGCCGTGTACGTGGTGTCAACACGTCAGTGACGCAGAAATCAAACCTAGACTGCAAGGCAAAAGAGAAAAGGCAGTTATTTTGTAGGTCTTTATCAATTCAGGTGGCTGGGGCGTTTATTATGCGTGCCTTGTTATTATCTGCCTCGTCTCACATTGTTTGCTGTAGTAGGTTCAGGTTGGTAAAGGGTTTGAGGTGAACATACTAGAACATGGTATCGGTGCTTGAAGACTCTGACTGTTAGTCTAAACCTTGTGGAGAAAAATAGATTTACTGGCTGGAGTTCGTGTGACAACCGAAATCGATCATTGAAGACTAGCTGATGTGACCCAGAATCGGTGAGGCAAGTGTCTCTACACATTGTCTTCATTATAACCTTGGTACTGAATTTTATGTTTGTTTCATCCCTTCTTTTTATCTTTTCATGAATTCCTATCACGTTTGACTACTTTCTTCCCCATTTCTTTGTTTCTTGTTGGTGCATTCTCGCCTGATATATTGGTATAAGTTGTAGCAACTTGGACCATTACACAGTAATACCAAGTCCCACGTTGATGTTGGCTGATCTACTGTATACGTTCACTTCAGTTTACTGTGTCTGAAGTAAATAGCAATAAAGTGTTGTTTAATCTATATTTTACTTCCACACGGTTTCCTTCTTATTATGACGTTAAGCGTTTGTTAGTAATTACCATAATTTTAATTGTACTGTATAGGTAACTGGGTTCGTATACATCTAAAGTTTTTGTATCACATAGACGTGCATGCAATCTACCCTGCTTTATTGATTTAATTATGTCTGTATGGTGGATGAGGAGTAGTGATAAATCAAAATGATACGGATTAAAATTCCTTGTCAGTTAAATTATATTATGCAGTCAACTAGTTGAACAGACAGACAGAATCAATGTAGAACCTCACATACGATTGCATTGGTTCAGGTTGTTACACTCCACAGTGGTTTACAAAGAAAAGGTAGATAAAAAAGGAGTGATATCAAAGTATACAAAGTTGAACGAGGCAATAAACAATTTGAAGATAAAAGTTAGTGCGAATATTCAAGCCTAAGGGGACATCAAAGAGTAAATACATCTGTGGTATTTTTTGTGACGTATTTTCAGCCATGTCACTTAGAGTCCTCAGCCACTGATTCCTATCGTCTTGGGGACCCCTGGCTGGTTGTTTACATTTCCTAATGCGGATTTGACCAACATTTAGGGACTTCATGGACTGGTACTAGGTCTTGTTCTGGGCACTCTGAACCCTCTTCCAACCTAATCTAGCTTCCCCTAGCATGACACGTCGATGTTTGTGGCAGCTCAGCATGCGCAGTGCATGTTCAAGTCACCTCGGTCGATCAAGGATCATAACGTCATAGATCGACTTGCCTATCTTGTCTAGTACCCTTCGTATGACCTCAACATTGCTCTCATGATGATTCCACCAAACACGAGAGATGGTATGAAAACATGTGTGATCAAAACCATTTAATGGGCATGTGTCATAGCCCTGTAATAGGATATAATAGTCTGCAGTGCAGTATACTCGTCCTTTGATAGATAATTGGATACCTCACCAGTTGGCACCAGAGATGGTGCAAGTTGACAAATACCAAATGAACCTTCTGTTTCCAAGTTGAAATTTCGTCAGAAACCAGTCCGTTCAGGCTGATGCACATCACATTCCATCACTTCTAGTTAAACATTGTTAATTATACTGTATAAGGTAGGTAGTTGGTTATTTCATTGCGTATTTATTAAACTCATTGTAATTATTATTATTGTTCATTCTAAGCAGCGTGTCTGACCAAGTTCATTTTTATCTGTTGATGGAAATAAATTTTTATTCTTTTTTCAGTTATTTGAAACCATTGTTCACTCATAGTACTCCACCGTTGACCGAATCATTACCATTATGCTGTTACAAATGTGCTAAAGTGTTTACAACTAATGAACAAAGAAATGAAACATTTGTCGACTATGATGGAAGTGAAAAAAGTTATCTAGAGAATTCTAGACGTGAGAGTACTGTATTTTATTCACACGATAAAGCAACAATCAATCCTACGCTTAGCGTGAACACTGTTAAAGTTCAACCAGTCAAAGTGAGTTAATATCCATTATGTATCCTGATAGTATCAAATTTTTTTATTCAACCTATAAACTGAATGTGTTTTTTTTAAAACAAAGGGATATATTTATTTAGTTATATCTGAATAACTCTATTTTATTAAATACAAAGACTTATTACTTGAATTTGCTTAGATTAGGATTATTGTGTGTAAAAGTGTCACAAAAATTGACTACATTTCTGTACTTGAATCAAATTTAGTTTACAAACTTAGTTTGTCTTTCGTTTGTTCGAAGACATGTGGACTATGAGAACCAAAATATAAACCACAAAGAATGCAACAACAAAAATAAATGGTATATGCACTAGACCATAAATTACATTTCGTGCGTAGGTTTGTTGTACTATTCAACTTCTTAAGTCGATATAGGTAGGGTGGTTATATACGTATCACTCACTGAGGTGGTATAGTTGGTTGTGTACGCACCGCAGTAACCACATCTGCGAAAAACTTAGTTGTAATGCAATCCTAATTGGGACTCTGGATTACGGATGTGATACTATTTTAGATAGGTTATTGATGAGTTGCTAACCAGTCTTTGATTTAGCTCGTACTGTAAGGCTTTGATTCTAAAGGCCACTCTGACACCTACCGAAGTAGCCGATCAGATTTCTCTACTCCACCAAATGGCCCTGTTTCACTATATGAAATATCCTACAAACAAGTTAACGTGGAATTATGCACTACCGCAGTCCCCATTTTCTGCACCTACAAATGTCTCTATTTTATAACCTTTCTAGCTGAAATAAGAAATCCTTTCTGTTTATCTCAGTGATTGTTGGAATGGACTTTAGAGTCGTTGCTGTAAGACATTTTCCCCCGTATCCCACTAGATTTGGACTGATATACCGAAGTCTTTGTGGGGGTTACTTTGTGCAGTGAAGAGCAAATAGTGAAGTGTATTTTATTGAACTGGTAACTGGAACTAACTAGTCTTTTTCATATTTAAGTTGAGACTGGCTTTGACACATAGCCTCGCTTTTTTACTTTTTTTAGCACACCATCTAGGTAATTCCTAAGGGTAAGGTAAAGTAGTTCAGTCGAAATTTAATGGTGAACTCAGGGAATTTTACAAATTGAGGTAATCATAGGTAGCATAGTTAACCGTAGTTTCTCTGTGTATTTCAAGTTCTCTGAAAATGTGAAAAAGCATTAAGGAATTCATGTAAGTTATGTTACTATACTCCAGTTTTTGACCTGGAATAGTTACATGATTGTGATGTATTATTATTGTTATTATTAATCCCTTGGGTTCCTAATGGAACATAGGGCTTCAGTAGCACGTCTCCAGTGAACTCTATTCTCTGCAAACTTTTGAACCTGACTCCACGATAGCCCAGAAGCTCTCATTTCCTCCTCGCACGATCTCCTCCATGTCACCTTCGGACGCCCAACTGGTCGTTCCCCATCTAGGCTCCACTCGAATGACTGACCTGGTGAGTGATATCCCCAGTCAGCCTTCTCAGTGTATGCCCAATCCAACTCCACTTCCTTCTGCATAATTGTTGAGCGATAGCTTCTTGGTTGGTTCGTTGCCGGGCCAGAGATCCTAGTTGTTTATTCTTTCTGGGTATTTGATCTTCAGTATCGAGCCAGCGTAGGTGGCAGTTGTTGATGAATGTCTGTAGTTTATTGGAAATCCCTTTGGTAACGCGCCAAGTCTCTGAACCATACAGAGGCACTGACTTGACGTTGGTGTTGAAAATCTGGATCGTGTCCCACATACTGAGTGCAGAAGATCTCCACATGGTTGTGATGTCCATTATGTTACTCATTTGGAGGTTTGTGGGGATCTATTTATTGATTTCAAGTTGGTATTTATCACAAACTGAAATCATTTGGAGAACCACTGGAAACTTCGGAGCACTAGACAACTGTTTCTTCCCAGTACAGGACTTCCCAGCCGTGGTCACTCATGACCCCATCAGGGATCGAACCCAAGACCTTTTCGTTTCGCGACCAACACTGGGTCAGAATCGAACGACCCACATTCTCCTGCTTTTGTGAATTTGTGATATAGTGTGATCTACATTCAACGCCAGCATTGAGTGTTTGTCCTCATCTCCGATTTAGTTTACCCCAACAGTCATGATTTCTGACTGGAACTTCGGGAATCTCATCTCGAAGCAAGTTATTCATGAGCACTAGAAAGATGGAGGTCACACTGTTCCGCGGTTCGACAGAAGTAGGAAAATATGGACTACTGGACTCCAACCCCAGTATCTCAAGGGTAGCAGCAAGCTGGTCACGGAAGCTGAAGGTCCTGGGTTCGATACCTGGCGGCATCATAGGTGCGCACTGGTAGGGAATTGCATACCAGAACGAAACTGTTGTCGTGTACTTCCAGGTTCTCAGTGGTTCTCCAACTGTTGTCAGTCCATGATGAATACCAACTTGAAATAATCGCTTATGTATTGAGGCGTTATGTTTTTGGTTAGGTATGGTGGTGATACTTTATCTAGTCTCTGTTGTGACATGAAATTAAAAAAGTATCACTGAATACTTGGAAAAGCTATTAATACAATTTTTATTTACGTAAACCATGTTTATCTTGATAAATTTTCACCCTTTGTTATGTATGCCTAAAATCAAATGAGTTTTAAGTTAAACTGAAAGTTGAAGTAGGGACGTCTGAAGAAGTTCCATTGTTTTTTTTACTTATAACTCAACTTGATATGATGAATGCGCTTTTAATGTTATAAGTTGTCTTATGGACGAACTTTTATGCGTTGTTATGCTGAACATGGTTGTCAAATGACTGTTTATATGTGGAGCTGTGGCTCATTGGGTTGGGGAGATGACTCAGTCAATAGGTCATGGGTCCGAATCCTGCTCCACCTACCAAGGTTTGGAGAGCCAGATAGTATCACTGGCCCTCACGCAATAGGTATGGCTCATTGCATACTGCGCGAATGTGCACAAGGCTAGTGAGTGCATTTCTATTCTTTTGATTTTCGATTTGTTTAACTCATCAATAGTACATCTTTCTACCCGAATGTATAATCTGTAAATTCTTACTGTACAGTTTGCATAATTTCTAGTACTGTTATGTTTAGAGTTAAAAGTCAACCAGCTGTCCGCTTAAGCTGTTTTCTGTTTTATAATGTAATAGAGTAGTGTCGGGACTACTGAATGCTTGATAATGTTAGTAACCCTTGTTTACTAGGGAGAGTGACTAATTTTGAAATAGTGGAGAATATTTGTAGCTCAGGTGGATGGTCTTGGTTGTATCGCGTTCTCTGAGCTGGGTTGTTTACTGATGAAGCTTTCATCGTCTTTCTAGACAGCAACATCAGCACTAACTTCGCAGTGACTATATCCAAGCTGCTAACGACATAAATGATTCTAAACATCCGGAGCATAGTTGTTAAGAGTATCCTGTAGGAAGTTGAGTGAGCTGTGAGTTTGACTTAATCATTATAAGAATATGTTTTAATATAATCCTAGGGTGTTTAGAAAATCAAACAAGGTATTTTTTTAAAGCCTGCTTCAGGGGAATATATGGACAATCACTGAGTAGTTGACGCATTATTTGATTATATATTTTGGTATTAAAGTCCATATATTCTGCTGAAGAAGGTGTGATTTACACAGCGAGACGTTCAGAAATATCTTGTTTTGATTCCCTAAACACTCTGGAGTTATGTTGAAATATGTTCTTATAATGATATAAATGATGTTTAGTAATAATAACGTAGCTTAACCCGGTACAGGTATATGTACCAGGTTATGAGCTACATTTGTTATGTATCAGCTTGTAATATAACCCAGTTGCTCAATCTGAAGTAAGTGGAGCTGGACTCGATCCTTGACATCATCAGCTGAAAGTCAGGTACTTAAGATAATGAGCTGTATCTCTCTAGTAAATTGGATGACTGAATATGAAACTTACCACTAACTGATTGACCTGAATAGACTGAAACCTAATTGATTATTTCATCAGCTTTAACTTTTCCATCCCTCTAGTGGTACAAAAGAATAAAATAGTAGATATGTTGAGTAAACAGGAAAGACGAAAGCATGAATAACTCAAGGATCGCTAACATTAAATAGTATTAGCTTAACTCATATTTCTTGTAACTCGTAACCCCTTCATGTTATCGAAACTTAAAGTTACTTAAAGTAACTATTGTAACTGGAGACATTGTGATCATGAGGTCGTCGATTAACACGAAGTTATTCCCTATTCCATATACCACAATTAATAACTAAGATTGCAGACGACAAGAACCGACGAATTTATTAGCCGATATGATAATCAACATGATATTTATAGCACTACTCACAGCGTTCATGAGATAACCAATAGAATGGTTTAAAGTAATCCGATTACCAGTAAATCCACTAGTATTGATATGAGTGTACTCTGATCAATTTCGATAACGACAAAAAATGTTCAGGCAAAATGACATCAGATGATACCACTCATCATGCTGCAGGTTTTCTGGGATATGATGGTATCTTTCAGCAGTAACAAAGTCAGCGCCATCGCCTTAACAGTCGGCTTCAATTGTAGGCGTTAGTTCATTGTATTTGTTTAGGCAAAGAAACTAGTGGACGAACATTAGATTTAAATATACATTCAGTCATTTTGTTCTCTGGCGCTGGCTGTGCAAACCACTTGGAGCAAAACGATTGCATTTCTCCTAAACTGTCTGTATAAAATAGTCGGCCATTCTGCTGTAGACTGTACCCTGAGTTTTGTGTTTTCATAAAGGACTATTGTGCATATATCACATAATTAAATTTCATAAATGTAGTCACTGTCATCAGTAGTCGTACTGCGCTAGTTGAAAAACATGACTATTTGAAACAATCTTCGACTGTTCTCAGTGACAGGCAGACAAAACAGCATAGTACCTTAAAGTACTGCGTAATGGTCTAAGTTACCACACCTCATACCAGCATATCAGGTGAGAATGTACCAGTGTGAAAGATAAGGAAATAAAGTAGAAAGCAGTTGACAGTGATAG